ATAAATAAATTATAGTGTTTTATTTTATATGCAAATATTTAAATAAGTACTTAACAATATCATATGAAAATAATGTGATGGTTAGTGATTAATGAATCAAGTTGAGCTGAACGCATTGTTCAAACTTGTTTGAACCCCATCGAGCTTTCAAAATTGTATTTGAGCTTAGTTTATTAAACAATTGTGCCGAACATGAAAGAACTTTAATCAAGCTGAAGCTCGATTAGAGCTTCATAATTTACAAATAAAAATATACGTTTCAAGTTTATTTTTATTATACATATTAATATTAAATGATACATTTCACTAACAACTTAAGTTTTTTACTGAAGTACTCTATCAGAGTCTGACCAAATAAAAGGTCCTAAATTCGAATCACACCGCCACACATTTCAAATATTTCAAATGCAAGGTTTCGAATTAAGGTATCATTTAATATTAATAAATTCAATAAATCACTATTAAAATTGAACTTAAACAAGGTTTTAATAATTATATAATCTATAGTCGAGTATCGAATAGTTTGTATTAATTTTGAGCCATATTAAAGGGAGGGGATGATTAACATGAACCCCCTCATCTAGGAAAATGAGTTAAGAAAACACATCCTCCCAAAAATAATTAGAGAAAACCCCATTAGCTAATATTCCACCCATGTGATATTTTCATAATTCCAAAATTACCCTTAATTGTCTATTATACTCTTTCAAAACCATAATCTTATTTTTAATTTTTCATCCGCCGTTTTCACGCTCCAACGTTTCTCTTCTTCTCTCTTTTCTCTCTTTTATCTTCTTCTTTGTTTTTTTTCCTCTGTTTTCTCCGTGACTTCTCCACCACTGTCGCCGCCGCCGCCGCCGCCACTGGGAGATGGAGAAAGAAAGAAGATGAAGCACCCATCAAACATTATAAATGATTTTGATAGCGATTCTGAATTTAAATGCCAGGAATGCTACATCGGAGGCGAATAGAGATAAGATTGTCGATTTGTCGCCGGAATCTGATTTTGATGGGTGGTGATTCTGCTTTGGTTGGTGGTGCGAGTTGTGATTTTATTTATTTATTTGTAATAAAAAACCGTCATAATGTCAAAGTAATGTGGTGATGGTGTGTTGTGGTGGCGGTGTGGTGACGATGGGGAGGCAGATTTAGGGTTTTTTGGTGGATCCTCCGGTAGAGAATTTCGCGCATGCTGAAACCTTAATCGACTATGTACATGTTCATAGTCGATTAAGCTAATCAACTATGCTCTGGCAGTCGATTATTGATCGACTCCAATTTTTAATTTTTTTTTTGAACTTTTTGTTTATTGATTCCAATTGTATAAATCATTTATAATATTTGTATATTTTTTGTTTTTGTAATATATAGTTGATTTTGTATTTTTTTCGCAGTTGTGATTTGTTATTTTTAGTAGCAGATTCTTAATCGACTATACTTCACATCATAGTCGATTAATATACCTGATATAAAAAAAATAAAAAAACAAAAAAAAAAATAAAAAATTAAATAATTTCCTTAATCGACTATGAAGCATAGTCGATTAAGGCTAATCGACTATGCTTCATAGTCGATTAAGGAAACTGATACAGAAAAGACGGGAAAAAAAAGGGGAAAAAAAATCGCTGAGCGCGTGACCCAGTAATGATGTGGCGGGTGGGGGCAAAGCTGGAAAATATAATGGCTGAAAATGGGTGTGGACTTTTCTCAAATGGATTAAAATATTTTGGGCATCCATTTATTAAAAAAAGTAGTGATGGGTTTTCTTAAAGAGCAACTAAAGGGAGTTTCTAATTCAATGAATTGAAACTTGTGACAAGATTGTTAACGGGTTAAAAAAAGAATCAAAAAGAATTATTACACTATATTATATTTTATAATACACATTCAAATATTATAATTATTATCTTATGGAAAAAAGATTCTCACTATCTATCTTGTCTGATATTTAACTCTTCCTTAATGAGGTTATGCACAGAGACAATGATTCACAAAGGGAGACTAGCCGATATTAAATTGGACTATTCATTTATTTATTTATTTATTTATTTATTTATTCATAATTAATAGATAAATGATACAAGATTTGACTTTGCAAGGAACAATTAATTAACAAATATTCTTGAATAAAACCATGATTGCAATCAAAAACTAGTTTGATTCTTTTGTCTAAAGAGATCATAACAAATTGGAAATTATAAATAAAAACTCAAAGCCGCCAAATAAGACCATCTTTAATTTCTTATATATCACATTTTAATTTGGCTTTTCGATTTTAAGTTCCAATTGCAAAGATGCCATAAAATAATTGACAGTCAGGACAAAAGCTATTCTTGCATTTAAAAAAATTTGGACATAGTAAAAAATATTGAAATTTAATTCAATTTTCAACTAAAACACATCTTCTAAGCCAGTAATAATCAAACACGTTTATAGTGCATTGAGACTTGTCCAATTGCAAGTAAAATAATTGCCTATGTACTTTGATTATTTTGCGCACACGTTTTTTGTGGGGTGAATCGGGTTCAAAGTGGAAATCGTCGAACTCGAATGCATTAAACTTTATTTCGATGCGGTTGTGAATACAAAAGATGGATGAATTGGTAGAGAATTGCTAGAACACGTTATCGTGTATGTGTTGGATGGTCTTCGACTTGTACAAGGCAATCTTTAGACCCCACCACAGCTGAAGCTGACGCCGCTCTAGTAGTAGTGAAGTACGCACGGGATAAGTCATGGAACGAAGTGATTACTGAGGAAGATTCAAGTCGGGTTATTGCAGCGATTTGCACCCACCAAGAGGAACGATCAACATATGAACATATTATTTCAGGCATCTAGGCTCTTGTGTGCTCTTTCAAGTCCTTCTCTGGATGCCACGTCAGAAGAAACGGCAATAAGACTGTTGAACTATCTAGATTATCTTTCACAAATCCATTTATCTTTGAAGTTTTACATGCAACAATTCAAGCTATTGTAGAAGATGATTCAAAGATTTGAATAAAACTCTTCTCTTTTCTCAAAAAAAAAAAAAAAAAGAAAAATATATAGGTCCATGGGGAAAAAAATGTTATAACTAAATGATAAGTCCAACTAAATATTTGTTTTTATCCTGGCCTCTATAAAATTTATTCTAAAATTGCCCCCATGCAAATTCAAAATCCGCCTAAGTAAAATTCAAACTACATTCATCATTTTTATTATATATTAAACATCTTAATTTTTTCATCTAATATTTTAATTTTTTAATTTTTAAAAAAAATGTCATCTTTTTTTTTTTTTCATTTTGGCATTTTTTACACAATAAAAAACTTATTTTTCCTTATTTTCTATTTAATATTGCAAATTACGGAAATTTTTAAAAAAGTTAAATTACATGTTTTTTAGTTATTTTTTATATTTTATCTTATGTCAATAAATATAGACATGTATAGTTATTGTAGTCACTATTCTGAGCTGTAGACATTTAAAACATGAATTTCACCTCACCTCACCTCATTTAAAACATGTAATAAACTGTGGTGTACTATGAGACAATATGATGTACTGTGAGATACTGTGGTTTATTATGGTACATTATTCTTAACTATATCAGCCAACAACTCCTAGCCGCCATCAAACCCTAACATCCAACAACTTCCAGCCACCGCTAAATTCTAGCAGTTAATAATTTTCAGCAGCCAATATCTCCCCAAGCTGCCAAACGCTATCTACCAAAATCTATCCGCCCACCAAATTAAACCCTAGCCGCCATAGCCGCCGCCTCTCACCATCGATCTGACCTCACACCACCTTCTTCAATCGCCATTGTCATAGCAACCACATCCTTACCTCCATAATCGTCCCCTCTATGCCACCGCTATAGTTGTCGCCATCGCCATAGCCACCACCTCCCTTAACTATGGGTAGAGAAAGAGTAGATTTGAAGGAGAAACGTGAATATATGTAAGGAATCAGAGTGAGAAAATAGATCTTTAGGGTACAAGGGCAAGATAGGGATATTGTTTCAAACTAAGGATTTTATTAAAAGATTGAATTTGGACTTATAGTTTAGTTCAAATTAATTTTTATTTAATGGGTTCAAAGCATATTACTGCATATTACTCCCTGACCGATTAACGTAATAGTATTATTGTCTACTATTGTAGTTATTACTGTAAATACAATAATATTACTGTGGTTGACGGTAATATTATTGTCGTTACAGTAATATTACTGTGGATGACAGTAATTTTACTAACAACCACATCAATATTAATTCTTTTGGCTTTTTTAATTATGTTTGCCTTTGTTGAACGGTCAACATATTAATATTACTTTATTTACACAATAATAGTGATTTTTGTTGTGTTAATATTACTGTGCTAGAGACTAATAAAGCAATATTATTGTGTTAAACCGTAGTATAGTTATTATTACTATGTTAAACAGTAATATAGTTAATATGACTATCAACTAAAACATTATTTTTGTTTAAACGGAGACAAAAAGATGTTAAATAAAAAAAAAATCATAAAAAAAAAGTTTTGCCGGAAACTGGCGTTAACGTCAATCAGCGACAGGTGAAAGAAGACAAAGAAAAAAAATCAACGCCGGTGACTGACGGCGAAGGACGAAATTGTACTCAAAATTGAATAATTTGTGAAATTTGGGGGTCAAATTAAAGTTAAATTAAATTAATAATGAAATTGAAGCATATTAAAATGTGAAGGGGTATTTTAATCTTTTACGCACATCTGGAGAATGAGTGCATTTTTTTGTAAAAGAGTTTTTTGTGTGACGGTATGAATAAGTATGCCATAATGGGTTTCTAATGGACCCTAAATAAAAAACAATATATATATATATATATATATATATATATATATATATATATATATATATATATATATATATTGATAATAACTATAGAACTAGAATTAGTTTTCATTAAAATTCAACAAAACTATTTGCCGGCAGAAACAAAAGGAAAGAAAATGATTGGACTCTTTTGAGACTAAATATAATAAAAAAATTCTTGGTCAATTACCCTTTTTGTTTCTCCTTTAATAGAACAAAATGAGTACATCAAGAGACATAAAATTTCACTCAACATTATTGCACTATTACCCTTTAACATGGCTAATCTCTCACAATTACAACATCAATTGGTAGTAGTAGTTGAGGATCACTAATGAGCACATATATATATATATATATGTAATAAAAATTTAATTTGACGAGAAAAAAAATTATAAAAAAATCGATTAATTCATCTGAATACGAGGTTGTGACAAGTTTTATCGCACGGATAAGGACAATCGATCGCCTTTATATTCGCTCTATCGAAATACCAGTCTCCCACAGCCCAAGCTATTGCCTGCACATTTTTCATCGTACCAAACAAAAAACATATATACTTAATCAAATTAATTCCGTCTTTTGACGAAAACTAAAACGAGACTATGGGGTGATTTATTTATTTATTTAATTAATTACCTTGTTGCCGATTTGAGGAGAAGGCTTTCCTAACCAAGTGTCCTGCCTCTCCGACTGGCAGTGAGCGAAGCAAGAATTTATGAATAATCCACTTTGTCTATATGAAGACAGGCCTCTTACTGCATTCAACATAGTATTCCTAAAACCTGCTTCGAAAAAAATATATATTATATATCATATATATGAATTTATAAGATTAGGAAAAATCGGTACTTGTCACGCCCTATAATGAAATATTAATTAATTAGGACCTTGCAAAAATTGTATTTGTTGTGCCGAACATTTATCGATATTTTTTCTACAAGAAACCCAGTTGCCACGAGGATCGACTTTCGGAGGAGCCAAACTTTCTTGGACCTGAATAAAATAATTAGGTAATTAGATATGTATATATATATATATGTGTGTGTGTGTGTGTGTGTGTGTGTGTGTGTGTGTGTGTGTGTGTGTGTGTGTGTGTGTGTGTGTGTGTGTATATATGTATTTTTTTTTCTTTGATTCTGCACAATGAAATAATGGCTTAATTACCTGCCATGCATCGTAGGCGGCGTTTAGAATAAAAAGAGGCGTTTTTATGTTTGAAATCAAATTCTGAGGAAAGAAGCACTGCCAAAAAAAAAATAGACATTAGCAAAATTATATGGTTAAATTTAAAAAAAAAAAAAAAAAACAGTTTAGGTGGAAATAATAATAATAATAATCGAGCAAGGGATTTACGGAAGTTGGGTCGAGATGGTTGGTACAAGTTCTTGGTAGATTACGCCCAACACCCTGTTACGCCCAACGAGTAAGAAACATTTTTATTAAGAAGGAATAATAATAATAAATATGATAAATTGATGTTAATGATTTTACTTAATTAGTAACTTCACTCGAGAAATGTTCGATAGAAAAATTACCTGTAAACTAACAACACCATGAAAGAAATCTCTGACTGTGCGTCCACCAGAAACATCGGTGCTGCAGAAAAAAAAACGAAATACAAAAATGTTATTGAAGCATACTAATTGCGAATATTTTTAAAGGAAAAATATTTAAAAAAAGATTTGGAAATTACGCGTCCATAAATAATCCAGCGTCGCTCAGGCACTTCACTTTTGTACGTCTCGGAAATAATTCTCGAAATTCGTCGCAGTGCAATATTGAAGCTAGAGCACCAGCGGAACAACCCGAGAGAAGTGCCTGCAGTAGTACAGTGTATATATTATTTAACAGAGAATACCAAAAGAGAAACAATTTATAAGGCCTCGTTTGGTTGCCAAGATAGGATTAACCGATATTAGATTATCGATTTTTTTTTGGGCTGGGCCTAAAAGTATTGCCAGCCAAACGAGGCCTAAGAATATAGTAAGTCCGTATATTAAGTAGTGATTGGTTTACTTGGTTTGCATTGCGCATTCCTTTCGACATCAGGTCTTCCATTGTAGCTTGCCATATTCGTTGCCCTCTAAATTGCAATCCCACAGCCTAAAATTGAAAAATAAATAAATTAAAAAATAATAATAAAAATGCAATTAAAAAAAAACGACTTATGGAATGAAAAAGAAAATGATAGAAGTTATAAAAATTAAATGAAATACCTTATTTTCACTATCCCCAGCGAAGGACGCTCCGTCACAGTATCGAACCTTTACTCTGTTCCAGTTATAAAAATCTGCATTTTTCGAACATTTACGAAGATCAATATATTACGGAAACTGCCACAAGCAATAATATTTCAATGTGATATAGATAAATTAAATCTGCACAATTGTTTTTATTAATTTATTTTCTTTCAAATTTGAACCTGGATTTTCCCCAGCATTGTTGCTGAGTATCCCGATAAACGGAATTTGCTTCTCGAAATAATTAGATGAACCACGACGCGTCTTTTTGCGGTAAACACATGTTCGTATATTGTTACACCAGCCTCCACCCTGCCATAAATTTCAATAACTTAAGCTTCGATAGTGAAAAATGTAGTACTTTTTTTTTCGTGTAAGAGTTAAATCAGACGAATAAAGATTTCGAGCATAAAGAAGCAAGTCTATTGATTAACGGCAAATTAGATGCTACACCTGATTATTTACACATAATCACACACACCCATGTGTATGTGTGTTTAGTGGGTAGTTATTTAATCAAATCAACGTAGTACAAATTCACCCGATGTAAATAACCAGGTGTAGCATCTAACTCCTCTTAAACTAACTGTATTTATTTAATTTTGCCATCAATTGACATCTTTAAACCAAAATTTTATAAACAAAAGTCGAACCAAAATTTAAACGAACCTCTAACTGGATGAGCCAACTGTTTGCACCGGATCCAAATCCACGATGCAAGTGATAGCCCGGTACGGTTCCATCCAAACATACTGCAAAAAAGTTCGAGATATATTTCCTAAGAGTCGAATTATAAAGAAGATATTTATTTATTTATTTATTATTACCTTTTAAGGTAACTACAAAGTAAGTAGTACACATGATTAACAATCGAAAGATTTCGTTACGGAAGGAGAAATCGTAATTGAATTTAGAAATGTTGTTTAGGCAGAAGTTCAAATGAAAATGGCAGAGATGAATTTAATCAAAAGATGGGGGCAGAAAAAACAAGTGACGTCATAATAATCAAATTCAAATCAGCAAACAATTAAAGGGGGACTGAGATATTCAATCAAAGTAAACAATGAACTGCATTTCCAATTCCATTCACAAAAACACATCTTCTGTGTGTGTGTGTGTGTGTGTGTGTGTGAGAGAGAGAGAGATTCAGAGAGAGGAACTGAAATTCAATCAAAGCAAACAATGAACTGCATTTCCAATTCCATTACAAAACACACCTTCTGCGTGTGTGTGTGTGTGTGTGTGTGTGTGTGTGTGTGTGAGAGAGAGAGAGAGAGAGAGAGAGAGAGAGAGAGAGAGAGAGAGATTCAGAGAGAGAGAGAGAGAGAGAGAGTACCAGCTCCTTTAGCAGCAGCTCCCTGAACAAGAGTAAGCCCCACCATAAGAACACCGGGGGGAGGAGATGCAGCAGAAACTCCATAAACAGATTCCAGATACGAAAGAGATTCCAACAAAGAAAAATCTGTACCATTAAATTCAAAACCCTCAACAACAACTAAATCCCATTTGCCCAAGAAGACCAAAAACACAGCAGCAACAATCCCACACCAAAATCCCATCACCATTTATATATATATTAAATTAAAAACCCTCAATTTTTTCAAGAACCCAAAAACCGAATCTTCTTGCAAGAAAAAAAAACATACTACTAAACATAATTTATAGGCATGGAAGTTGGAATCCTTACCAAGAATTAATTATGAGAATCTGGGCTCGCCATTTTATTTGGTAAGTAGAATGAGAGGAATGGAGTAATATTTATTTATTTTTTATTTTTTATTTTTTTAATAAAATAATAATTAGATGGTAAGTATGACGAATGTCTGAATCTGATGAGGTAAATCGGGAAAATGTTTTGTAATGTGTAATGAATGACATGACACAATCTATGTATGACGAACAGATTTTGTTTATGTGGTTTTAAATTAAAGAAATTGTACTTTGATTATTTTTTATTTTTTATTTTTATTTATTTATATTCTTTTTTGGAGAATTAATTAACAAATGGAATGCTTTTTAGGAGTGAAAAGTTTTGGAATGTTAAGCACTTTTGGCAGGTGATTTAAGATTATTATATTTCTGTGTCGGAATTCATTAATATGAAAATCAAAAACAATTATGTGGTTGGCAATTAATTGAAAAGTTTACCTTTTATTTATATTTAGATTTAGAGGGAAATATGGAATTATTTTGAATTTTGAAATTGGGTATTTAAAAATCACAAGTATGAGTTGGCAACGGAGCTTTTTTTCTTTTTAGGATAAAAGGAAAATAAATTAGGCGAATATTCGGATATATATATATATATATATATATA